TCCTTCTCCTAACTGAATTTTGTTGAATGAGAAATCCTCTCATTACCCTTGTTTCCATTCCCTGGTTCATATTGATTTCAAAATAGTCTTTTAGGGCTTTGGGGGCTTTATTTACAATTTGGGTACTCCTCAACAAATCATCATTCATTCTCCATCTGAAAGAAACCTGTAGGGACGTTTTCAATTCCATAAAAGCTGCATTATGATCTGAGCAGGTTTTAGGGCAAATTTCCATTTTTGATACTTTAGGAACCAAGTCTCTGGATATCCATAAATAATCGATTCTCGAGAATGAATGGTTTGTACCTGAAAAAAATGTGGTCTTTTTCAGTTGGATTCCTAACTCTCCATATGTCTGACAGGTCGAATTTATCAGTTATTTCAAAGAAAGTCTTAGGTAATCTGCCAGTATTCAGTATTTTCTGTCTCTGTGTTCTGTCCATTAAAGTATATGCCACTCCATTCAAATCTCCCATTAAAATTAATTTGTAATCCAAGTGTTCCAAAAGACTTGTTTCCAAGTTCTTAAAGAATTCTGATTTGCCATCATACAGATTCCCAGTAACAAATATTTATCGCCTTGTGCTGTAATTTCCACTCAATGTATCTTCCGTCCTCGTCTTTGAAGATCAGTTTTGGATTCCATTTTTCTTTGACTTAAAAAACCACTCCTCTTTTTTTCACTTTATCTGAAGAAATAAATTCTTGACCAAGTTTTTTATTTGATAAAATTTTTCTATGTAGTCTAGTGTGTGTTTCCTGTAAAAAAATTACATCCAAATTCTGCTTTTCCAAAACATAGTAAACCTGTCTACTTTTCTGAGGAGAATTTAAGCCATTAACATTCCAAAAATAAATTCTCAAAGCCATGATGTTAAATTAAGGTACTGTTAGGTTTTTGATGTAAGATGTTAACTCAAAGACATACCCATATTGAACTCCTGCTGCCAGCGGACTACAGACTGCGTGTGACCGAGATCGCAAGTCACTGTGTGCATTGTCCCATAATCTTTGCTTTAAAACCTTTTGGGTGCCTTCATAGCCCAGGTAATACAGTTGGGGGGGAGACAGACCAATAGAGGTGGCTTTTTTAGCCATGGTTTTCTGCCATTTGCTGACAAATTCCTCATTGGTCAAATGTTGGTACAGACCCTTCCCTAGATTAAACACTGAAATCCTGAGCCAATGTTTTAGGGCAGCCCACCACGCTCTAGCTGAAATTGGGCATTCACCAGCTTCCAACAGAAGTACGGAGTTAGGGACACAGTTAGGTACCTGCAGCAGAGATCGTATAAATTTTGCCTGAAAGCCATCTAGCTTTGGCAGGTCCCCATTATGCCAGACATTTGCTGCATACAGGAGTTGGGAAACGGGCTTTGCGTTGAAAACCCTTAAGGCTGCTGGAACATATTTGCCGCCCTTTGTGTAGAAGAATCTATGTATGGCTAGCTTTGTAATCTCCGCCTTTTGAAGGGAGGTTTGCCAATGGTGCTTCCAAAATCCTGTATGATGGAATGTGAGCCCTAGGTAACTGAAGTATTTTACCTGTTCAAGGTTATGGCCATCCAGCACCCATTTAGACTGGGAGAATCTTCTTTCGAAGACTAAAATTTTAGATTTTTCATAATTAATGGATAAACCATTTCCAGAACAGTAATCAGAAAATTTCCTCAACAGATAATTCAAGCCCGGTCTGGAACGTGAGATGATGGCCGCGTCATCAGCATACAACAACAAAGGGGTCCTTCTCATTCCTATTTTTGGAATGTGTCCATCTGGGTCCATTAAGTTCTCTTCTAGGTCATTTAAGAATAGACAAAACAATGTGGGGGCCAAAATACAACCCTGTCTCACCCCCCTAGTCATCTCGATGCTGTTCGATAGCTGTCCCTGTCGACCGCATCGGACCTGCAGTTTGGTTCCATTGTACAGGGCTTTTATAAGAAAGAGAAGTCGTTTGTCCTGCAAAATCAGACTCAATTTGGGCCATAGCTGGGATCTGGGGATGGAGTCAAATGCTGATTTCAGATCCATAAAGGCCACGAAGAGTTTACCCTGTAGAGGTCTGATATACTTCTCAGCTAGGAAGGACAGCATTAGACAGTGGTCTGTTGTTGAATGGTTCTCACGAAAAGCTGCCTGGGCTTCAGATAGTATATTATGTTCATTTAGAAAAGTTGTCAGTTTGCTACTGAGGAAACGGGCATACAGTTTCCCAATTATTGAGAGCAGGCTAATAGGCCTATAATTGGAAGGTACATTTGGGTGGCCTCTCTTAAAGATTGGAACTACTATAGCATGTTTCCAGCTATATGGTACCTTACCCAAGTTATTTACTACCGTAAAGAGTGCTGCCAGAAGCGGAGCCCACCAGTGCTGGTTTGATGTAATCAACTCAGCTGGGATAAAGTCTTTCCCCGGAGCCTTTCCACTCTTCAGATTCCCAATTAATGTATGGACTTCCTCCACAGTAACCGGCCTCCAATGAGGGAGCAGTGACAATTCTGCCCTGTCATCCTCCTGTAAGCTGGAAGGGAGGCTTGGATTTTCCATAAATATATTTCTGAAGTGGTTCTCCCAAACCTGAGCTGGAATGACACAGCTGGGGGCTGAGGAACTATTTTTCATTGAGTCGGAGACCAGTTGCCAAAAGAGTTTAGTTTCATTGTTTAGTGAGGCATTCAATAGCAGGGACCAGGAATTTTGTTCGGACTGCCTTTTTTTTGAGGCCAAAAGGGCTTTATACTCTTTTTTGATTTTGAAATAAGATTGAGGTAAGTAGCTTAATCCAGTGTTTCTATAGGCCAAATAGGTGTTCCTTAAGGCTTCCTTCTTTGTGTGGCACTCTTGGTCAAACCAACCACGCCCTTTAGCAGTGCGTGGCTTGCCGGCTGAGTTTATGTTAACTGAGACCACATCCTGCAAGGACTCAATGAGATTTTCGTAAGCTGTCAGGGAGGAGTCTATTGATAAATTGTTTATTATAATTGATCTTAACTTAATTGCAGTTTGTGAATTCAATCTATTCTCAACTGCAATTGCTATCCCAGGTGTCCATTTTTTCCTACGCAATGCTAGATCATTTGCTTTGTCTATATCCTCATGTTCTATGTGAGAGCGCTGAATTGAATTTTGGCCAGTAGTGGAGATGATAAGAGGTAAGTGGTCACTTTCAGTCCTATTATCTATGGTGAATTTTTTAATTGATTCGAAGGCCTCTCTGTTAGTGAGACAGTAGTCTACTGTGCTGGCTCCATTTGAATTTATGAATGTGTACTCGCCTTCTCTGTCCCCGGGGAATGCCCCATTAGCAATGATCAGGTCAAGACTTATTTGTAAAAAAGCCAGGCAGAATCCAGCATAGTTGATTTGGCAATCTTTCGAATATCTACGTGGGGGTGGGTGCTCGTGTGCTCAAGACATCGATTCCATAGATCATATTTTGTTACATTGTGCGAAGTATGAGCAGGCCAGGGCTGAACTGATACTACCCTTGCTGGTGCCTTTCCCGGGAAAGTCAGAGGCTCACTATGTCAGGTTCCTACTGGAAGACCGGACAAAAGCTAGAACGTTGGCAGTGGCAAAGTTTTTATTGGTGGTTGCAAGAACAAACGAGCCCTATATTCCAAACAAAGTGCTTGATTAACCTGGAGGTAGACTGTATGAACTCTGTATTAATTTGTAATGTTTTGTTGGGTCTCTGGACCGTAATAAAGATTGATGATGAATTAAGGGGTTGCCGCTCCTGCCCCTGGCAGCTGCAGGCTTTCCAGTCCAAGTTCCACCGCGTACTTTTGCAGAAATCTGTCCTTCTCTCCAACAGTCTTAATTCTTTGCTTTCTTCCTCCAAATTTAAAGGAGAGACCTGGAAATTCCCACCTGATAAAAATATTTTCCTCCTCAAGACGTTTGCCAATTCTGTGAAATTGGATCTCAGGTTCAAGAAGTGTCTAGGAATTTCTTTAAAAAGAATGATGGGTTTCTCCTGAATTTTTAAACCCTTTTTATAATGTAGTCCCAAAATGGTATCTCTTTGTTCCTTGGTATTAAAGACCACTATGCAGTCGTAAGTTATTTTTGAATCCTTTTTGGGGCCAAATATTCTTCCTTTTTCAACTTCTTCCTTTTTCAGATCTCACCAAGCCACAAATTGGTCTGTCAAACACTCCTTAAGTTGCTCTTCTTGCAATTGAGGGACCCCTCTCAATCTTAGATGAGATTCCCTTTCCTTCATTTGAAGAAATGCAATCGAATTTGCATTTTCATATTGTAATCTTTCCAAATCCGACACTCTGTCTCAAGCTGTGCCAACCTTGTTTCATGTGATGTAATCTCAGTCTTCACCTCTTTCAATTCAGCACTTAAATCTTGAAACTTTTTATCCAATCTTTTAATACCTTCTGTATTACGATTTGTGTTGTCTCTAATTTCATTCATTAAAAGCATTACCGATTCCTCAAAGGCACTTTTAGAGCCACTCCCTTATCTGCTTTTTCAGCACACATCGTTGCTCAGGAATTTCAAGGTCAGTCTCACAGCTTAGTGGAGTGAGAGAGAAAAACAGATTCCCACCACCAGTCCCACAGATGCCAGCCCAGGCAGCCAGCAGCCCTCCTGTTCCTTATTGTAAAAAGACAGGCTGTAAAAATAAGAAAAAAATTCAAATCCCTTTTGGAATTTAGCAACAGTAACAGATACTTCTTTAGCTACTTTAAAATGAGTCCAGACAGCAGCAGGATACAAAGTCATAGAATCAATGGAAACGAAAGTCGAATGTTTCCTCTTCCATTGTGACATCACAATGGAGTCTAGCCTTTCCCTACCAGGAGGTCCGCTGCAGAATGAAGGAACTTCTTTACAGTAATTCACAGTCTCGCAGGGTTTAAAATTTAAAAGTTTTTTTTCCCTTCCCCCTGCAGAAGGGGGGCATTATATTGAGCTTGCAAACTTTCAAAGAGTCTTTTTATTCTTGAGGCTTCGGTCCTCATTTACCGACTCTACTTTAATTCAACAAAAGGGATCGACCTCCGTTTTTAAATCCCTTTTCTCTTCCAATCTTGGTCAAATTTGAACTTTATCCTTTACTTACAGTTCCAAATTTTAAGTCCTTTTTTTTAAAAAAAGGAATTGGCCGCTCACGATCGCCAGACTCGGAGCTTCGCACTGTGATAGAAGCAGTCGTTTCCGATGTGCCGCGTCTCCGATCTCACTCACTCTCGGGGATCTTACGAGCTTACCAGGGAGTGGGGGAGTCACCAAAAGGCACCTACCGGATCACCAGGTCCTCAGAATGCCCAATCTGAGGTTTCTTTCGGGGGACCGCGTCACTCTTGCAGTCTCCCCTTGCTTCACTGCACTGGGGCTCTTTCAGCCGAAAGAGCTCCCATCTGCCATTACCGGGAGATCAACCAGGTAAATCAGGAGTTAATAATTTTCATGCTTGCAGCTGTGAGAATAATAGTTGCAAAGCACTGGGAAAGATTATCAGAGTAACCAGTTCATGGCTGGATTGGAAGAGGATGGCAGGCAGCAGTATCCAAATTTTCAAAACTCAGTATAAATTTGTCTCTCTGCCTTCCTCCAAAAGGAGCCCAGGGCAGCAGACACATCAGTGATAAACTAACGTAATTAGATATGTTTAAAAGCACAACGGGATGAGAGTGGTGCTGTGGTCTAAACCACTGAGCCTAGGGCTTGTCAATCGGAAGGTCGCGGTTCGAATCCCCATGATGGGGTGAGCTCCCATTGCTCAGTCCCAGCTCCTGCCAACTTAGCAGTTCGAAAGCACACAAGTGCAAGTAGGTAAATACATACCGCTCCGGAAGGAAGGTGAACAGTGTTTCCGTGTGCTGCTCTGGTTTTGCTAGAAGCGGCTTAGTCATGCTGGCCACATGACTGTCTGTGGACAAACGTTGGTTCCCTCGGCCAGTAAAGCAAGATGAGTGCCGCAACCCCAGAGTCGTTCATGACTGGACTTAACTGTCAGGGGTTCTTTACCTTTTTTAAAAAGCACAACAGCACTGTCCCTGCTTCTGCTCTCTAGCAGCTGATATTCAGAGGCACATCAATACTGTATTTAAAACATGTAAAACATGGAAGAATATTCATAGTCTCTTAGACCTGCATTCAACTTACAAAGAGTACCTACTCGGGATCTGAAACAGTTAAGACATAACTAAATCTGTGCTGGGGGACGCGGGTGGCGCTGTGGGTAAAACCTCAGTGCCTAGGACTTGCCGATCGTATGGTCGGCAGTTCGAATCCCCACGGCGGGGTGAGCTCCTGTCTTTCGGTCCCAGCTCCTGCCCACCTAGCAGTTCGAAAGCACCCCTAAGTGCAAGTAGATAAATAGGTACCACTTTATAGCGGGAAGGTAAACGGCGTTTCTGTGTGCTGCGCTGGTGCTGGCTCGCCAGAGCAACTTCGTCACGCTGGCCACGTGACCTGGAAGAGCTCTTTCGGCTGAACCACCTTCCTGGCACATGAATCGCAGCTGCAGCTTATTTGGATTGGCACTCCAAATCTGGTGCCCACACAGGACCAGCCCAGTTCTGTCCAGATAAGCTGCAGTGATGCCAGTGGCAGGAGGGCAACCACAAATGTCTGGAAGGCATTTAAGTAATGGTTAAGTCCATTGGTTTTGGATAACTATATTGCTCCTTATTTTTCCAGTAACTGTTTGAGAGCCTGCTTAAGACTGACATAACCTTCCAGTTCATTTTGAGCTGTGAGGCTTTGTTCTCTTCGGAGTGTGAAAAACAAAACAAAAATACATTTTTAATTAAGATCATCCAGAGTAAATATGTAATAAAGCATAATTTTACCTTAACATTGAAAATAATTCCTGAATATTTTTTACCACTTCTGCACAAAAAACAAAACCAACCTCCCTAACATTGTTAAAATTTTGTTCATGCGGATTTGGCTGTAGCTTAATCAAACTTTCATTGAAATAGTACCACTGTATTTGTTTCCTAAAGTGCAGTACACATCCTTTTTAGCTGACATACCTGAATTTAAAGTAATATGCACCCATTACTATAGCAAACTTGGGATTTTATACTCACTTACTTGATCTTATCACCCATGCTGTTTAACATCTGCATAAAACTGCTGAGTAGAGTCAACCAGACTGCAACAGTAATGGCAGTATCTAAATCACCACAGAGCCGAGCGGCTTTGTCCTCAAAATGATGGGCCAGATAGTCACAGGAGGCCTCCAGAGCTCTGGGGAGACCAAGAAAGTCCAGAAAAGCTCTCCTGGATGCTTGAGAAGCAGCATATTAGAACTTCTTCACTGCTTTTGTTGCTGCATGGTAAGTGCAATTATATTATCTGCTTCGTGCTCGGTCAGTTTCAGAGTGGGGTCAAAACCCCCAGTACTCCAAGATTTTTCATTACCCACAGCTCACTAAAATACCAGGGAGCTTTATGGGCTCTGCAGCGCCGGAGGGGGAACTAAAGAGCGATAATGTCAACAGCCCTCATCATTTCCCAAGACAACAGCCTTGCCTTTTCTCTTCTGGAAAGTCTCCATCAGTATCCACCAGTCTCTGGGGATGGACTATCTTAGTGAGTCACCCACCTGTGCCAAGGGGCATAGCTGCCATAAGCCCAGACTTAACCAGAAACTGGTGTGACCATGACAGTGGGATGCTGCAGCTAGCCAGCCTTTTGGTTACAGACTATTCACTCCACTGAGAGCAAAAACCAAAGATATCTCCTGCTCTGTGTGTCAGGCTGGTAACCACCTGAGACAGTCCCGTGGTGACCATGGAGGCCATGAAATCCTGAGCTAGTTCAAGAACAGCCTTGGCATGGATGTTGGAGTCACACAGCATAATCATGTAGGGTTCCTCCAACACCAAGCTTGAAACTACCTCAGTCAGAGAGGATGCTGTGCTGCAGGGTGGGCAGCATGCCAACAGCTTCCTAATCTATTTTTGAGACCCACCATCAGATGCAAGCCCTCTGGTCCTACAACAGAGAGGTTTCCTCTGTGATTTCATTAATGCAACTTTATTGTTGATCTTCTGCTGCTGGCCACCATATTTGTTCTTAATGTTGGTGGTATGGACATTTCTGCAAATAAAATTAATTAGCTCTCTAGGGATGTGAGAAAATGCTGCCTGCCAAAATATCTCTCTTCCTGGAAATCAAAACCTCTTAGTACATTGGTCAACACTCTTTTTGCTGGGCTCTCAGCTCAGCAGTTCAAGAAGCAGCCAAAACAAAAGAAACTCCCTTGCCTGCTCTTTCTTTTACAGTTCTGCAAACGCCTGGATAGGCCATTGGGCTGTAGTGCTTTCCTAAGATAACTTCTGCAAGAGGTCATTTCAGGGAGTTTACATAGCAAAAGAAAGCAGACAAGGGCCAGAGAAACATGCAAAGACTGACTTCAGGGATTTCCGGTAGGTTTAGAGTGACATGCACTGTGGACAACTTCAGAAGACCCTCCGGTCAAGTGCAAAGGTTCTGCAGAATTGCCAAACAGCACTGATGAGGCCTCTAGGCCATATGTGTAATATTTCCTTATGTCTTTGCCCCTTTCCTTGAAAGATAAGTTAAAGAAGCAGCAGTAATTAGAGAGAAAAAATATTTGAGCAGATTATTCTTGATGCATTTCTGCCTTAACTCAATTGTTAATTGTTAATTGTTCTGGAAACATTTATTTGCAAGCAAACTCCTGCTGTGGCCACCATGCTGTTGAGTTCTTTGGACCCTATCCACAATGTTTTGTAAGTTGCATCTTTTCATAATGAAATTTAACACTGCTTCAAAATAGTTAGTCTCTCTTTCTTTCTTCATACCTGAATGATCATTACCTGAATGAAATTTCCAGATCAGCAACTACAATACACTATGTTTTCATCTTATTCTTTGTATATCACCTGGTGTGCCACTATAATTTATTCTTGTAGAATGTTTTCTTATAGATGCCTGCAGATTTATTTATTTTTAAGGGTTTTTAAATTCATACTCAAAGAGAATTTTGATAAAAATCCCTTAGGGATGCAAAATGAAGGTAAAAGTTGGATCTCATAAATAAAAGCAGATAATCATGAATTTACATGGCTTTTTCCCATAGGATTTCTGTGTGTGTGTGTGTGTGTGTGTGTGTGTGTGATATCAAATAAAAGCTTCTTTTGATGTCTATACACTACACAGTAAAAATCAGAGATCACTTGGAACATCATCATGGCACAGAAAAGTGGATTCAAGACATGGACCTTTATGATTTTTATACAGACACAATGGGGTGAGATACATTTGTGAACTTGTCCAGAACAGAGCTATGGAATCAGTTATTGTCCCAACTTACAGCTGACATACTGACCATGCCTCTACCTAGAGACAGCTTCAAGAACCTTCAGGTCAAGATGGGACTCTCAGGGGGTTCTTGACATGCTGTGTTTTTGTAAGTTCTTTGCATGTATGCATGCACTTGTCAGAGAAGGGAAATTGTTGTAGTATACAGTTAGTGACTCACATTTGCGTGCATGAAACAGTTAACTTGAGGGTCCCAGTGAGGGTGGAGCTTAGTAGGCTCCCTATTTTTCTCTCCTTCCCATTTTCTTTTTCTTTATCTTCCTGCTTTCCCGAATAAACAAGAAGCCATGTGACTGTAGCTCCCAACCGCATGAAAAAACCAAGTGAACTGAATCTCTCGAAAAGGGAGATTTTACAGGCTGCAACTTTGCTAACCAAGGTTGCACTATCCTTTTTTGTAAGGAAAGCAAGTCTTTTTCTTTTTAAGTAGTTTGAAACCATTTTTCTTTGCTTTACTGCCAGTGGATTGAGACTTGTTTGCGGTAACCTCTGTGTGAGTAAAATATTCACCTGTTTGCAAAGCCAAGTGTCTATGATTTATTCTAGTTTAAGTATTTTCATGGGGAACATTTGTTTAAAGGTGGATGAGAGCAGATGTAAAATCTTAGTGTGCTTGAAGCAATTACCATTGCGTTTAACTCTGCTATGAGAGATAAGGAATCTTTCTTCCAAATCTCTCTCTCTACAAAACAAATCCTCCATCAATTCACTGTGGTTGCAGAGGTGACATGATTTGATGATGATTTTGAAGGGATCCCTTGTTAAAATAAAGAGAATCCCAAAGGATCTGTGCCGCAGATTCATGTTTTTCTTTTGGCAGTGCTGTGACCTGTGATCTGATTGGTAGGTGGGGAGGGCAGAGTAGTGAAAAAATATGTCCTTTTGATCCTTATCTGTTCTACTGAATCTGATTCTAGGACTGACAAACTCCCCCACCCCTTTTCTTGCACAGGAAGTTTTACTAGGTCCAGAGCTTTAAATATGTGCTTGAAACAGATATTCAGCTCTGCTTAAAAAGCAAATGGTGTACATTTCTAATTCAGAACTGTGTGATTAAGTCATAGTACTGGCATCCAATAAGGAAAATGGCTTAAAATGTGTTGGGGGAGTTATTGGGTTGTTGTTTTTATTTTGATTATATATTTTGTGGTTTTATATTCTGATGTTATTCTGTGAACCACCCTGAGACCTGCGGGTATAGGGCGGTAAAATAAATAAATAAATAAATAAATAACTAAATAAATATTTAAAAGCAGAGTCTAAGTACCTGCTTGAACAGGATAACTTATGCTGCTGACCCCAGACAGCACTGAAACACTGAAACTGTGTCAGTGCCTCATGCTACTTACTGCTGTTCTTTATGCTTTAGGAATAATCAGCTTTTTGTTTACTGAAAGTGGCATCTCTACCTTTTTGAACAAGCACACCCTAACACTAAATCTAATCAAAACCTGTTTTTAGCTCAGTTATTCAGAAGCAGCAATTAATTATTCTAAGTAGGCATAATAAATTTCTGCTGTGTTTGCTTAAGTGGAAAAGAAAGGGCAAAAGAAATGAGATAGCAAAGAGGCATAGGGTAAAGCTGAGTTTTCATAATTGCCTGAAGCTTGCATACAGTGGTGAAGCTGATTTTTCATGTATAAAGTGTTTCAAGACGGCCGTTATTGTGGATGGGCGTTATTTTTTGCAGCCTCTACATGATGTTGTCATAAAAATGCCAGCCCATTTTCTACACACAAGCACCATTTAATGAGCAGTATTATTATTTTTTAAAAAAAATCCGGTAAGTTAAAAAAAAAAACTTGTTGAGAACAATCCATTTACAATATTGAGCTCCTACCTGGAAGTACCCATAGGCTACCCACAGTTGTTGCCTGCAGTGGTGGACAGAATTTATCCTGAGAATCTCTACCTTCTTTGAATATTTACTGAAATGTCTGTAGACAGAGATGTGACTGAGTAATATTTCTGGTGGGTGCTTTTAGTGTGCCCCCAGACTGGTAAAACTAGAATAAATTATGCAAAATGGCATATGCATCATTCAGTTTTTGTTGGTGCAGAATTTGAATTGGCTGGGTGCCAATTTTTATTTTCTATTTTTGGTCTCAGAATACACATATCCCTATCATTAGGAATAGTCAGCAATTTTGTATTCGGGAAACCTGTCATGTAAGCAGAGCAGTTGTTCTTATTGCAATTATATCCTCCCTTTTTCTCCAAGGACCTAAAAGGTTCTTGGTCCCCCCATTTTATCCTAACAACAACACTGTGAGGTCAGCTAGGTTGAGAGACAGACTGGCCCAGAGTCACCTGGTGAGTTTCATGGTCAAGTGAGGGATTTGAATACTGGTCTCTCCCAGGCCTTAGTCTAACACACTAAGCACTGCAACACAGAGGGTGATGCAATCTGGACAATGCTCCATTCGCACCTACCCACCATCTTTAATTCCCTACAGTGCCTCTGAACTTCCACTGAAATGTGGAATCATTATGTGATTTGAGTTTAATTTATCTGTTGTCTTCTCGTGTTCTTTTTATTTATTTATTTCATAAAATTTATACACCTCTTGATGGTATTCCCTCAACTTCCTAAGCATCTGGGTAGGCTTGTCTGAAGAAAAATGTTTTTAGCAGGCTCAGAAAAGAATGGTTTTATATGTAACATTTTTGTGGATAAATATATGGAGAAAGCATTTGTCTGAGCCTCATTGTTTACAATAAAATAATTTTATTATTTGTACCTCACCCATCTTACTGGTTGGCCCCAGCCACTCTGGGCAGCTTCCAACAAATATAAAAGCGTAATAAAACATCAAACATTAAAAATTTCCCTAAACAGGGCTGCCTTCTAAAAGTCAGATAGTTGTTTATTCCCTTGACATCTGATGGAGGGCGTTCCACAGGGTGGGCACCAAGAAGGCCCTCTGCCTGGTTCCCTGTCCTCCTTCTCACTTATCTGTGTTTTGTGTTTGTGTTTAGGTGTTTGACAGAGTCAGAAAAGTGTGGCCAAACTTCTATGAGAAGATTAAACCAATCAATGCTGAACTTACCCAGCCAAATCTGGCCATTGCTCCTGAGGATGCTCAGGAGCTCCTCTCCGAAGTTAACATTGTCTTCCATTGTGCTGCAACAATTCGCTTTGATGAGCCACTGAGGTATGTTATGCTTGCTTTTCCTTTGTGTTTCTTACCCCAGTCCTAATCAGGTTTACTTAGAAGTAAAACTACTGAGCTCAATGGGACACTTTCCTAGTAAGTGTGACTTCAGTAGTATGGTGAATTTCACTTTGAAAAGAGTTACAAGAGTACATACATTCACTTAGGAATTATCCACACTTACATTTTGTTGTGCTTTAAAACTCCAGGTCTGAGTTTCTTCTCTCTTTTTTGTCCCAAGCTTTCCCTTTGAAAACTCGTTCTTTAAAACTGAATCAGAGCAAACATCAGTTTGGGAGTTCTGCACTCAGACACTGAACTTTAAAGGGTGGACAGTGCTTGGTCATAGCAAACACTCCTGATCTTCTGTATCAAGAAAATCACCCCTTCCTTCCTTTCTTCCTTCCGGGAACAATGAGTTGCAATAAATAAAAATAGCCACACATTACAAATAGCAACATAAGGAATTCCTGCTCAGTTATAAACATGCACTTATAGTCAGTAGTCCACAGATTTTTAAAAAAATATCTGAACAGTTTTCCATCGAGAAGGAAAGGGAAAGTACATGTTTTCATTCTGTTAGCTTTTCATCCAAACTTTTCACTAAGCATTCTCAATGAACTGATATCACAGTACTTTAGATCATGAGGTACAAAGACAATTCCAACTTTGCACCTGACCCAAAGCAGTGTTTCTTTGGGGGAGTCTTGAGCAGACAACCTTTTATGTAAGACCATGTTGCCCAATGTTTGATTTGCAGCATCTCCTCTCTAGCTCAAAAGAGGTACCACCCTGCTCTGATAGCTGAGATCCTTCGATAAGGTGGCATGGATGAACCCAGGGTGTTCTGCAGACAAGGTTGTAGAATACCACAGAGATATAGGCACATCCTAAGTTACAAGAAAAGGAGCAGCACCAGTGACTTCCAGATCTCACCCAAGATCCAGAAACATGGAAGGAAGTGCGGGCTGCATCACTTACTTTTCTTCATGTTCCCCTTAAACATCTGAAGTAGCTCTATTAATGCTTACTTAGATGGTCATGCCAACAGGACTTCTTAATAACCTTTTAATGCTTTCTTAACCAGGCAAGCCCTTCTGTTAAACGTCATGGGAACAAAGCAACTCCTGAAGTTGGCCCACCAGATGCAGAACCTCAAGGCCTTCATCCACCTTTCAACTGCCTATGCATACTGTAATCGGAGTTACATAGATGAAGTCATTTATCCTCCTCCTATGGATCCCCAGAAACTTTTTGATCTTGTAGAGTAAGTGATGGAAATAAACTTCTCTCCTGCTGATGTAAACATGATTTTGGAACACTAAGTGCTTCTTCCTAGGCACATGGAAGCCACTCTGTTGTGGTGCTATCCCACCTACCAGTTGTGCAGGCTTCATCACCTCCCTCCCTCCGTGATTAAGTGGGAAAGCTTTCCCAAAAAGATAATCAACGTGCAAATCACCAACTACCTTGATCACTTTCCAAGCTGATATTTGCCAAAGAATGTAAATGTAGAGATGAGGAAACTATGAACATAAGGAGAGGCCTGCTGGATCAGGCCAATGACCCATCTGTTTCCAAGCTGGTCACAGGGAAACAGGAAACATTTGTGGGCAGCATGGCGAGTTCTTAGCCCTCCCCCCCCCAGCACCTCCCCCCACAACTCCTTCAGTCTATTTCCCCAGTTAACTTCAAGACAGGCAAGAGGCTCAGCAGGAGGCCAGGGGGAATGGCCAGCAAGAGAGGTGAGTTAAGGAGCTCTGCTGCCCACACCACATCTCTCCTCCGAAGCTCCCCTATCACTGTATTCATCAAGTATGGGGTTGGGAATCCATCTTTATGAGCATTTGCAGTTCTCTTACAAAAAGTATTTTAAGTGTAACACCAAGAAGCAGCTTTCTGGTGTGAATGTGAACTTCTGCATTGCCTGCCATTCTGCTTGGAGACATTCTGCCTGCTTTGCCAGGGTATGCCAGGCTACCTTTATGTCCTGTGCTGCTCTTTTGCCTCAGCATACCCTTTAAAGCTGGTTGTCCTGAGCATTAGATTAAGAAAAACCTCTTTGGATATGGCAGATTACTTGTTACCCTGGCTGCTCTGAGGCCCTCAGATGTTGTGACTTCTGATTTGCAGAGATTAATTGTCGCACTTCATTAACAAGGAAGCCAGCAAAGGGGAACATGGCTGCCTTTAAATAAAATTGTATCCACATCAGGAGTTAATGCTGAATTCTATATTAAAAGGAACTAGAGAAAAATGTTTGCATCCAAGCCGTCTAGCTTTCTTGGTTGTAGACTGTCAATAATATAAGTTCAAGTAATAATTAGGGTTGTTACCTTTTTAGAGGCCCTGTCCCTGCCTGTGCCATTTTATTTTCCTGGCTTGGTATAAAAAGTGATGTGGAAAGATTTGTTTCCTTTCTGTGGCGGGGGTGGGGGGGAGCGCTAAGCAGGGAAGAGGGAGATTGGATTTAGTAGGTAAGGTGGCCAGATACAAGAAGGAAAAAGACTCTGTACGTTTAATATTGCATAGAAGAGGAAATTTCAGTAGCTGCTACACAGGGCTGTATCTTTTCAAATTCTTTTTTCTGTACCAGAGGTTTTCAACCTTTTTGAGTCCACTGCTCCCTTGACCAACTACATTCTTCCTGTGCCTCCCCTGTGGGATACCTGGTAAAAACTTGTGTTGTTTCATCATTTAGCAGTTTGGCCTTTAAATAAAAAAGATTTAAAATTTAAGCAGCAGAGCTTTGAATAGGCTTTTAAAAATATGGCCCATCCATTCCCCTACTAAATGCTGTTTTTGTAAGTTTGTAAGACTAGACCCATCTTTCCCCCTCCTGTTAGTTGCAACCCTCACTCTGCTTCCCCCGCCACAAATTCCTCTCTCTACCTTCCCATGTCATCATTTATAATCTCCCAGACCAAACAAAAGGGTCTCCATCTTGGATGGATTCAAGTTACAAGAAAGGAGATTCTGACTAAACATCAGGAAGAACTTTCTGACAGTAAGAGCTGTTTGACTTCTATGAGAAGTGGTGGAATCTCCTTCCTTGGAGGTTTTGAAGCAGAGGTTGGACAGCCATTTGTCTTGGATGTTACATTTAAGATCCTTGCAGTTTAGGAGGCTGGACTGGATGACCCTTGAGGTCAGGGGTGCCAGCTTGAATTGGGGGCCCCAGGTAAGCCCCATGCCACATAATCACATGATGCATGCACACCATTTGAAACCCAACCCATTAATAATAATAATAATAATAATAATAATAATAATAATTTGAATGGCAATGGCCATCAACTGGGGGGTGCCCCCTCTAATGTTTTATTGGGGGTGAAGACCTCATGGCCACTAAGAGTTGGCTCCTAAGTTGGCTCCTATGCTTGAGGTTTCTTCCAAATCTACAATTCTACAATTCCTTTTCTAGTGGGGGGGGGGGAGGCATGCAGCAGGAAAAGACTCCTACTCCTGCCTTCTTCCAATGTTCCTTTAAATGTGTATGTGGGAGGGGGGATTCTGAGCTTGTTTTGTTCTTGTTTTTATTTTTATTTTTATCATGCATTTTGTATTTGTATTTTTTATTTTAGCCTGTGAACTGCCCTGAGATCTACGGATGAAGGGTGGTATACAAATTTAATGAATAATAGTAAGAATAATAATAGTAATAATAAAAATAATATCTTGACCTGCAATGGGGAGTGCTGAAATCTAGTCCATCTTATTTTGATGGCTGTTCTACAAATCTAATTCCCCTTTTCCTCCTTTGCATCGTTTCTTTTCATGGCTATATTTCAATGGGTGGTTGTTGTTTTTTTATTATCCTGTTAGGGGGATGGATGAGTCCCTCATTCAAGAGATCACACCCAAACTGATTGGGGATTGGCCCAACACCTACACATTCACCAAATCCTTGACAGAGTACGTAATTCAGCAAGAGAAAGGTAACCTAAATACTGCCATCATTCGACCATCCATCGTGTGCTGCAGCTGGCAAGAACCTTTTCCCGTAAGCATGACTGCTCTTCCATTTCTGTTGAGTACTCTGAAAATTCCCACTGCAGCTGTTGCTTTGCTCCCAGCATTTTGTCTCTCTGGACTGTCCTTGGACTGTCTTGCTTCTTGGCAATGAGGGGAGGAAGGAAGGAGAACCGTATGGATCCTGGACCATGGATTTCTTCTCCATACCCCTTTGGGGAAATTCATTCCCAATTTTGTGTGGGAATGAATGCATCCTGCGGTGAATAAATAACAACTTTTCATTACTCGTTTATAAAGCACCTACAACTAATACTGTGATTTAAGTCTTGAGGTTATTCCCTAACACTATGCTTATTTGTACTTATTCCTATCATGCTTTTTGTATTACTGCTGTTTACTTAGAATGTGGTGAACTGCTTTGGGCAGAATCTTTTGGGCAAGTGGTGATTGCTAACATAAGCAGATGAGGATGGCTTTTCACAGTGCTTTTTCTGGGGTGCTCAAAGGTACCAACACCTTTTGTCCTCCAAAGGTTAAAAGTGTGGCACTTCATGTACCAGCACCTTTTCTTCTAAAAAACCAAAAAAACTAGTTGTGGTTTTTTTAGTGAATTGGATTTAGGTGGTGGATTGATGAGTGCCTAAGTCACGTAGTCATCTTATCCCAGCATTGCCACAACCATCCTTTTTTTAGAGAGAGAGAATTTGGAGACAATTTGAAAGAGGGATGTGTCCACTCATTCCACTTTTGCTTCTGGTAAATGAATTTGGAATATTTTTGTATTTCTAAAATCTACAAAACCTATTTGACCAGTAGCTTGCTTAGACAAAATATGTGAATGTCACAGAACACAAAACCTCTCCAAAACCATTTTCAACACTCTTTAAAAAGTCGTCTATGACCATGTTTATTTTTTTACCATATTTTTAACCCACTTTTGTTTTCTGACTCACATCAATAAAAACCATCAATCTCAGGCAGAAAAAATGTGCACTAGGCTTCAGATTCACAGACTGGAATATGGGAAATGTGCTATGCATAATCTCAACTCCCCCCCCCCCCCATAATAGAAACTCAAAATTTCCCTCTCCATAATTGCTTTCCCTTATTTTTTTTCTTTTCAGGGGTGGATTGATCAGTTCAATGGACCATGCATTTTCTTGATTGCGGTATGTGTCACCTAGTAGAACTCTTAGGTTCCTGAGATGCTGGACCAGGGCCTCAGTAATATGCAACCTCATATGTAACCTCTGATAATTAGTACTTAATGTCCTTAAGAAACAGAAGAAACAAACTCCTTGCAGGTGGAGTTTGTTAGATACTTTGAACAAACAATGAAGCAGCAACTATTGGTGCAAATTACTATTAGTAATAGTAGTAAAATTCACTACTAAGTAGTAGTAGCAAAATTTATATACAGGGGAGGTCTTTGTAGCCTCTCTTATTTTCAGTTGAAGACAGGCCAGAAAGCAAGCCTTGCCTGTTGCCAGTTATTCCCCTTTAAATTGGTTGATTGATTGGTTTTTGCTGCTTGGGAAAGCAGTGGCAAGAATGAGGAGAGGGTGGCCATACTTCATGTGGGCCTTTTTTGCTTTCCTCAAGAATATGCGCCCACTGTGTGGGCGCACAGTTCCTTTGCATGTACTCATGGATGATTTGGAAAACCAAAACAAAATCAGAATGATTGGCAAAGATAATTTGCCCATAACTATCACCTTTCAAGTGATGAAAGTAGTTCTCCATTTTACTGAAATCTCGATCCAATTTCAGGTGCATTGTCTCTAGGCAATGAAATTATACCACAAAATTTGCTAACTAGCCCCTTCTCCATCCCACAGACTGGAAAGGGGATTGCACGGATTGTAAAATGCAACAAAGATGCAGTTGCAGATATCATTCCTGTAGATATTGCCATCAATTTGATCCTTGCTGCTGGATGGTACACTGCAGTTCAGAGGTAGGACTGGTGTTTTGTGATGGACTTACATGGACAAATAGGTTACTGAGATTCCCCTTCTTTCTTTATCTCTTCTTTCTTGTATTTCTTTTTCTTTTTTTGGATTTGGTCTCTTATATGATCTTTGATTTTGGATGGCTCTCGATTAGTACTAACTAGATGTATATGTCTTAACAACTAAACAATTATATTTTGAAAGATGAAGACGTGTACAGAGAGCTGACAGAGAGAAAAGTAAGGGGCCTGTATGAAAGAGGTTTTCTCAGGGTGTGAAACGGAGGAAGAGGAAGCTCTCCCAGGTGGGAGGTGGGAGGATTCAACTCTCTGTATGGGTGAAGATCAAGATAAAAGGGTGGCCGAGGGCTATATTTAAACTTTTGTGTCTTCTGAATATCCTATGAGGTTTATTAATGTGCTGTATTTTCTTTTTCTCATTAGTTCTTTCTGTCTGATTTTCTATTATTCTATTATTTTCTATCATTCTGATGTTTTCTAATATTCCCTTTATTTTACTTGGAATTTTATGGTTTATTAGGTTGAAAACCTTTAATAAAATAGTTGTTTTTTTAAAGGACTGATGTTATGAATATGCATTCTAGTTTCTACCTTCCCTTGTGAGGTAGAAATGCTGAGATATGCATTTTGTGTAGCTAGATCACTTATGGAATCACCACCACCACATTTGAATATGAACATGTGCAAATTCAAACTTCTCATTCATTCATTCAGTCATTTTTAAATATATATCTCAGCCTTCCTGCCAGAGGAGTCCAGGGCGGTCAACACATCAGCCTTTAAACAGTACAATGCAAATAAAATGACATCATACCCAAAAAAAAAGCAAGCGAAAGAATTACAAAATTTAAAGGGGAAGAAGAGAGACCTAATCAGCTGTTCTTTAGCACTGGGCAGAATAGTCATTGTGGGATGAGATCTGCAAATAAAGCCTCATTACTCAGAGCCAGGTTTCTAATTTGAGACATTTATTAGATTATTCAAGAGTAAAATGTGTGAGAAATACTCGGTTGCACAGAAATAAAAAAGGAGCAATATTTTCTGTCTAGTCCACCCGCAGGCCACACACATGAGTCATGGCTCATGCCCTTCATTGCTTTTGCCTGGGTGGAAAGTGTCTTTGAATTGCAATTATGCTTCTTGGTCACTTGGATGGAGGGTGTGTGTGTGTAGAAACCTCTGGTTTTACTACATTTTAAGCTATTGTACCAAAGTAAGAGCCATGTCCATTGCCTCAGGTGTGGGATGGCATCAACCCCAGCACAGATGTGCAACATGACTAATTTCTGCATGAGTCACTGCTCTGGGCTGGGCTCCTCCTAAGCTGCAAGATTGGAGATTTATACAGAAGTGCATGGGTATTTGCTTTTTAAAAGTAAACCTTTGGGATGTAAAAGTTCCTCTAATTTTAAACATCCCTTTTTAATTCAGGAAAGAAGCATGACTACTCAGCTGTTAGAAATTTAGGAAATTTAGAATGATAGCCATTCTAAACAAAACAATACTGTGTTTTGTTTTATTTCTCCATTTCATTCTTTCCCTCCTTGCTTATTTTTCAGGCCCAAGTCACTGTTGGTATACAATTGTATAACAAGTAACATCAACCCATTTTCCTGGGGAGAAATACGTAAGTTTATTTTTAAAAGTGCAAGGTGGATTCCATGAAAATCACAGGTTTCAGACATGGCACATATTTGGTGGATTCTGCCAATGCAATCCTGAAAGCTTGCCCTGGTACATCCACAGATAAAGGCTGTGAATTATCAGGGTAATTATTAATTACCCTGATAAACCCTGTGGCCTTCTGCCTTCTATTAAATTAAAAGCAAAAAACCCCAATGTTTTGGCAACTTGAAATTTTATTTTGTGCTACATTTCTTGTTCCATTGACTCCAGAACACTCACCTACAGCACAGTCACAAACCAGTGGTGAGAGAGCATATAAAGTCCAAAATATATTATGGGTTCCCATTACCATAGGGGCAGGTGATATTATCTGGTCCTGCATCCATTCCCCTCATTTTGTAAGCAGTTCACACCAGTGATACCAAACAAGCCAAGCCCAACTGTCACTGGAAGGACTCTCCTGAGGCAGTGGTGGGATGGTGTCATGACCCCCTTCTTAGAGAACAAGGCAATGACTTTGGAGGAAGCATCAGAAGGCGAAAGGGAATTGCCCTCAGAGCTTGCCTTGGAAGACCCTCGTGCTCTGAAACATCAGATACAGAAAGAGTCCATTCTGCCAGCACCTCTGTGGCCTGAGGAGGTTGTATTGCTGACCTTTGGTTCTTGAGGGCTCCAGTGCAGAAGCTCCAATGTAGCCACTGACTGTTAAATTGACCAATTCTATGAAGACTTACAACACCTTCTAGAAATGACACCAAAGGAGGATGTTCTTCTCATAGGGGATTGGAATGCTAAAGTACGGAGTCAAGAGATAAAAGGAACAACTGGTAAGTTTGGCCTTGGAGTTCAAAATGAAGCAGGACAAAGGCTAATAGAGTTTTGTCAAGAAAACAAGCTGGTCATCACAAACATTCTTTTCCAACAACACAAGAGCATCAAAATCAGATTGATTATACTCTCTGCAGCCAAAGACGGAGAAGCTCTATGCAGTCAGCAAAAACAAGACCTGGAGCTGTCTGTGGCTTAGATCATCAGCTTCTTATATTCAAGCTTAAACTGAAGAAAGTAGGGAAAACTACTGGGCCAGTAAGCTACAATCTAAATCAAATCACAGTAGAAGTGAGGAACAGTTTTAAGGATTTAGATTTGGTGGACTGAAGAACTATGGATGGAGGCTTATAACTATACAGGAGGCAGCAACGAAAACCATCCCAATGAAAAGGAAATGCAAGAAAGCAAAGTGGCTGTCCAATGAGGCCTTACAAATAGCAGGGGAAAGAATACAAGCAAAATGCAAGGGAGATAGTGAAAGATACAGTAAACTGAATGCAGATTTCTAAAGAATATCAAGGAGAGACAAAAGGGCTTGTTTAACAAGCAATGCAAAGAAATATAGGAAAACATTTCTCTTGAACATTTTCTGTTCAAGAAAATTGGAGAAAGGAACATTTCGTGCAAAGGACAAAAGTGGTAAGGACCTAACAGAAGCAGAAGACATCAAGAAGAGGTGGAATTATACCAGAAAGATATGGATGTCTTGTACACCCCAGGTAGTGTGGTTGCTGACCAGACATCCTGGAAAGTGAAGTTAAATGGGTCATAGAAAGCACTGCTAATAACAAGGCCAGTGGAACTGATGACAGCTGAACTATTTAAAATTTTAAACGATGATGCTGTTAAGGTGCTACACTCAATATGCCAGCAAGTTTGGAAAACTCAGCAGTGGCTAGAAGATTGGAGAAGATCAGTCTGCATCCCAATCCCAAAGAATGCTCCAACTACTGCACAATTGTGCTCATTTCACACGTTAGCAAGGTTATGCTTAAAATTCTACAAGCGGTATGTGGACCGAGAACTCCCAGAAGTGCAAGTTGGATTTCAAAGGGGCAGAGGAACCAGGGACCAATTGCAAACATGCGCTGGATTATGGAGAAAGCTAGAGAAAAACATCTACTTCTGCTTCATGACTGTGTCAACCACAGCAAACTATGGCAAGTTCTTAAAGAAATGGGACTGCCATCTGTCTCCTGAGAAATCTCTATGTGGGACAAGAAGCTACAGTTAGAACTGGATATGGAACAACTGATTGGTTCAAAATTGGGAAAGGAGTACGACAAGGCTGTATATTGTCTCCCTGCTTATTTAACATATGCAGAATTCATCATGCGAAAGGCTGGACTGTATGAATCCCAAACCGGAATTAAGATTGCCAGAAGAAATATCAACAACCTCAGATATGCAGATGACGCATCTTTGATGGCAGAAAGTGAGGAGGAATTAAAGAACCTCTTAATGAGGGTGAAAGAGCAAAATATGGTCTGAAGCTCAACATCAAAAAAACGAAGATTGGTCCCACTGGTCCCACTGGTCCCATCACCTCTTGGCAAATAGAAGGAGAAGAAATTGAGGCAGTGAGAGATTTTACTTTCTTTCTTTTTTTTTTAATGATTTTTATTAAGATTTCAGTAAAAGATTAAACAGAAAAACATAGAAAAGAAATACACAAATACACAGTACATAATCCAAAGAAGAATAAAAAACACAGAGAACAAAAAAAACAAAAAAAGAACAATTAAAAACAATATCACCTTTTCATTTCCGTTTTTAAATTTACTTATTTTCTGGACCTCCTCATACCTCCCTCTTTTGTATTCCAGTCCAAATTGTTTGTCCAGCAATTTCTTTTCCACTTTTTTAATCCCAATCTTTAATCTTAATATAATATAGCATTAAAATTTTACCTCTTAAATACCAAATTTCCATTTCCTTCAACTTCTTTAATCCTAATCTTTAATCTTAGTCTATCTATAAACTTTGAGTCCTGTACAGCTGGAAACCACTTATTTTTAATCCAACATCACTCTAACATTCTTTAATTTTGCAGTGTTTCTGTAGATAATCTTTGAATTTCTTCCAGTCTTCCTCCACCGACTCTTCTCCCTGGTCACAGATTCTGCCAGTCATTTCCGCCAGTTCCATATAGCCCATCAGTTTCATCTGCCATTCCTCCAGCGTGGGAAGTTCTTGTGTCTTCCAATACTTTGCGATGAGTATTCTTGCTGCTGTTGTTGCATACATAAAGAAAGTTCTATCCTTTTTTATCACCATTTGGCCGACCATGCCCAGGAGAAAGGCCTCTGGTTTCTTAGGGAAGGTATATTTAAATACCTTTTTTAATTCATTATATATCATTTCCCAGAAAGCCTAAATCTTTGGGCACGTCCACCAAAGGTGAAAGAATGTACCTTCAGTTTCTTTACATTTCCAACATTTGTTATCGGGCAAATGATAGATTTTTGCAAGCTTGACCGGGGTTATGTACCACCTGTATATCATTTTCATAATATTCTCTCTTAAGGCATTACATGCCGTAAATTTCATACCAGTGGTCCACAACTGTTCCCAGTCAGCGAACATAATGTTATGTCCGACGTCTTGTGCCCATTTAATCATAGCCGATTTTACCGTTTCATCCTGAGTGTTCCATTTCAGCAGCAAGTTATACATTTGAGAGATTTTTCTTTCTTGGGCTCCATGATCACTGCAGATGGTGACAGCAGTCACGAAATTAAAAGATGCCTGCTTCTTGGGAGAAAAGCAATGACAAACATAGACAGCATCTTAAAAAGTAGAGACATCACCTTGCCGACAAAGGTCCGTAAAGTTAAAGCTATGGTTTTCCCAGTAGTGATGTATGGACGTGAGAGTTGGACCATAAAGAAGGCTGATTGCCGAAAAATTGATGCTTTTGAATTATGGTGCTGGAGGAGACTCTTGAGAGTCCCATGGACTGCAAGAAGATCAAACCTATCCATTCTTAAGGAAATCAGCCCTGAGTGCTCACTGGAAGGACAGATCCTGAAGCTGAGGCTCCAATACCTTGGCCACCTCATGAGAAGAGAAGACACCCTGGAAAAGACCCTGATGTTGGGAAATATTTAGGGCACAAGGAGAAGGGAACGACAGAGGACGAGATGGTTGGACAGTGTTCTCAAAGCTACCAATATGAGTTTGACCAAACTGCAGGAGGCAGTGGAAGACAGGAGTGCCCGGCGTGCTCTGGTCCATGGAGTCACGAAGAGGTGGACACAACTAAACGACTAAACAACAACATCCATGGCTTAACCCTTTCTCTACGTTGCCTCTCGGTTTTTGTTCTTGTTTGTCAGATCTTATCCTTCCTGAGGTCTGAATTATCTAGTGCTTATGTAATTATGCAATTCAGCTTCTGTACAAAATGCTTGATTAACCTGGAGGTAGGCTGTATGAATTGTGTATTGATTTGTAATGATTTGTTGGGTCTCTGGACCGTAATAAAGATTGATTGATTGATTGATTGATTGATATTAAGGTCAGCAGGAATTCTGTATGGAGATGAAATGCAGAGTATGCAGTTGAAATGAACACTGTGCATTGAAAAGCAGCAGCAGGGGAACAGAATAGAATCAAGGTCCTTTGGCAAAACAGCTCCGAAGCTATTTCACACAGTGACTTATGTCAGTTGGCATTAGAGTCCATGTGGCTAAAACCACTGAAATGTAAGAATCTTAGAAGATTTAATGTTTTGTGAAGGTCTTAGGGTCCTGAATCCACTGAAGCTATATGCTCTGGGAAAATGTGATGTGGGGATTTTTAAGTGTCCTTAATGTAGTTTATCTCTAAGGGGGATAGTGTAAATCAGCAGTTACAGATACAAGTAGTTCTGTGAGTAGTAGTGCCAGAAAGGGCTCAACAACTCAGCCAAAAGTTAGTCTCCTGGATCGCCAGACAGCCTTTCCTCCTCTAGACAGAATTTCTAATTCCCCTCTATCATTGCTTTCACTGAAAGAGTAAGGAGGGTAGGAATGTCCCTTGGGTCTTATCATCATCTTCCTGTTCAAGGCAGAGTGAAAGGTAAAAGGTAAAGGGACCCTGACAGTTAAGTTCAGTCGCAAACGACTCTGGGGTTGCAGCGCTAACCTCACTTTTACAGGCTGAGGGAGCCGGCATTTGTCTGCTTCCACAGACAGTTTTTCCGGGTCATGTGGTCAGCATGACTAAGCTGTTTACCTTCCCACTGGAGCGGTACTTATTTATCTACTTGCACTGCATGCTTTCGAACTGCTAGGTTGGCAGGAGCTGGGACCGAACGGTGGGAGCTCACCCCGTCGCGGGGCCTCAAACTGCCAACCTTCTGATTGGCAAGTCCAACAGGCACAGTGGTTTAAACCACAACGCCACCCGCGTCCCTTGAATGAAAGGTAGAAACACATTATTTCTTGTGGATGTTTTAAGAGGGGGAAAATGCACGCCAGCTGACGTTACGTCGAAATAATCAGAGAGATGGCTCTCTATTTGTAATCCTATTAACTTTCTTAGGTATGTAGACAAAGGATGGAATGAATCCTACTGCAAAAGATCTCTCACTTTCCCAGATGAGTGCAAAAGTTTGCAGAGTGCAAAAGTTAATTGCAGCCTTGCTTTTCTGTAAATTAATTACTAAATTATTTCTGTAAATTTCTAAATTAATTCTGTAAATTACTAAATTAATTCAGGCCTATCTGTATGCTCTTGCAAGTATGACTTCAATTCTCTTTTGATAAAAGCAAAAACAACCGTGTCCCCTGTTATTTTACAGGCGATGTTGCCATGGGCATATTGGAGAGGATTCCCCTGGAGAAAGCCTTCAGAATCCCTAATGCTTGCATGACCCAAAGCGACTTTACGTATGAGTATTGGAGAACTGTTAGTCACAAGTTCCCCGCCTTTCTCTATGATTTGTATTTAAGGCTAACTGGAAGGAAGCCAAGGTGAGGGAAAACTGCTAAATGGTTAAACAGGCAGTGACCATTTTAGGTGCATCTAATATGTGTGCAGCCATGACCATGTGCATCGCATCGAACCTGGAAGCGACATGAAAACGTCACAAAAAGGGGCGGGACTGGGCAGGGCTGAATGGGTTGTTTGCAGGGTTTTCTAATGCCATTTCAAATATATGCAATTTCACTTAAATGTGTGGTGCCTTGGAACATAACCCCTGTACGGGCAACAACCAATTGGTGTTTGACCATGAACACAAGCATTGCAGCAACCCAGAAGTGGCCAGGAAACAAAGTGTGTGGGGGGGGTAACGGGCAGCCCATTCCCCAAACGGCCATTGCCTGTATTGTCAAGCACTGTAGGGAATTTGACTGCTATGTACATGAACGAAAAGAAAAAAGCAACCTTGTTGTCTGTTGTTCTTTCTTTATTGCTGTTAATGAGTTCAGCACTGAAGCAACAGTGGAAACACCCAGAGAGGGCGTGAGTAGGATCTAGACAGCTTGTTCTGGTCATTACATCTACAAGTGTGTGTGTGTGTGTGTGTGTGTGTGTGTGTGTGTGTGTGGAAAGAGCAGCAAGGAAAATGTTGCACCAGTTTATAGAGATTTGTCAAGATTATCTTGGAAAACATAACTATTAAAAATAATAGGCAGTTTCTAAATTGAAGAGTGGGTTACAGTTGAAAAATCCTTAAAGTGGATTTTTTAAGCTTGTTCAAATTTTGTGTCTGCACTCAGTGTTACAAGCAGATATGCTGAAGACATTGATTTCAATAGAATTTTAGTAAATGTTGTCTGTAGTCACGAGGACCCAAAGAACTATTTTTATACTCAAAATCTTGGGTTTCCCTGTAGGATTTTTTTCACTCCCTACCTTCTCAAACTGCATTCAGAAGTTCTCTCCACTTAAGAAGAGGGTTGCCATTTTGCATGGAGGCAAAACCAAAGTTCAACGATTTCTTAAGTGCACATAATTAGTTGCACTGCTCTTTGGATCCTGGCCATAGCTCATATTCCAACACAAAAGTTGTGCACACTGATTTAATTTCTATGGGCTTAAAGATCCTCAACTCTGTGTTGAATTGTATCCTACATTTTTAGTATTAAAGGTGAACAAAATTGACACTGCTAGAAACTTTGCTAACAGAAAATGTAAATCAAACCTTTAACAATGCAAAAAATTTTTTTGAAAAAAACACAAACCTGAAAAATAGTTCCATATTAGTTGTCCACCCTCTTGATGGGCAAGAAAACGTTTGTGAAAGTTCAGCCGGATTTCAGATTGCACTCAAATCCCTGGGTAAAGATCAGTTTTTTGTAGCTCTTGCTTATGGTCTTTTCCTGCTGGCTCATGTTCTCTTTGGCTGCTGCATCTTCCAACCTTTCTGTCTCTTCTCCCTCTTCTTTGACCTGTTCATTTCCCAGGCCCAACCCCTTTGTGTTTTCTTTTCCCATTCCTCTGTAACATTGGAGCAGCTCAGCCAATCACTGGCAGTGATAGCCACCTCAAAAATCTCTAGCTGCATTACAATTGTTGTCATGTCCGCCTCTTTGTGACCCCATGGACCAGAGCACACCAGGCACTCCTGTCTTTCACTGCCTCCCACAGTTTGGTCAAACTCATGTTGGTAGCTTTGAGAACACTTGTCCAACCATCTCTTCCTCTGTCGTCCCCTTCTCCTTCAGGGTCTTTTCCAGGGTGTCTTCTCTTCTCATGAGGTGGCCAAAGTATTGGAGCCTCAGCTTCAGGATTTGTCCTTCCAATGAGCACTCATGGATAGGTTTGATCTTCTTGCAGTCAAGAGTCTCCTCCAGCACCATAATTCAAAAGCATCAATTCTTCGGCGATCAGCCTTCTTTAAGGTCCAGCTCTCACTGCCATACATCACTACACATACCATAACTGCTGCCAGAGGAAAACTGAAGGCAAGTTAAGAATGGAAGGCCTGCCAGTCTGATAGTTGGTTTCTTCAAAGAATATTTAAGAGGCTGCAGAATGCGTGAATAAACTCATTCCCTGTGCTTCTGATAATCATTTTCAAAATTTATTTCAAGTGCAAGCTTTGATCTGGAGCAGGCTTTGATCTGGAGTAGCCGATCTCTTCAGAGGGCTTTACATTCTTGTATGGCTATGTGGATTGTGAACCAACTGTGGTAATCCCATCCATTTTGGATGGGATCTCTGTTCTGTCTTTCAGAATGATGAAGATGTACAACCGCCTCCACGAGTACATGATGCTCTTTGATTTCTTTTCCAGCCGTTCCTGGGAATGGAAATCAGACAATATGAACATGTTACTGAACCAACTTAGTCCAAAAGATAAGAAAGTAAGCATTGTTCTAATCCAAAATATCTTTACAGATTCCCATCAAGGTAACAATTGTTTCCTGTGGCCTAAAAGAAAAACTTCAAATTTCTAGTAAGTATGCCCCCAAATTCCACTACAACCAAAATCTTGGTTGGTTTCAGGATGGGTTGGATTGATTTTCAAAACAATGATTTGACCATTTTTTATTGAATCCATCATTGGTACAGAAATAACAGGTGACGCCTAGGATAGTTTATGAACAACATGCTTGCCTTTCTGGCTATGCTTGGAGGCTGTGGGGATACATGGTTCATGCAGTCTAGATTTTTTTTAAAAAAAATAATTTTTATTAAGGTTTTAAACAACAAAGAAAGAGGAAAAAAAACATACACAATACATATACCAGCAACACACACAAAAAACAACACAAAATTCAACAATAAAAAAAACAAAAAACATAACAATTAAAAACAATATCTCTTTTCCATTTCCATTTTTAAGTTACTTATTTTCTGGACTTCCTCATACCTCCCTCTTTTGTATTCCAATCCAAATTATTTGTCTTTTCCACTTTTTTAATCCCAATCTTTAGTTTGATAAAATATTAAAATATATAACTTCAACTTCTTTAAACCTAATCCTTGGTCTTAATATCATATACCATTAAAATTTTCCCTCTTAATATCAAATTTCCATTTCTTTAAACATCTTTAATCTTAATGTTTAATCTTAGTCTATCATTAACTTTAACCTGTACAGCTGGAAACCACTTGTTTTCAGTCCAACATCACTCTAACATTCCTTAATTTTACAGTGTTTCTGAAGATAGTCTTTGAATTTCTTCCAATCTTCCTCCATCGACTCTTCTCCCTGGTCACGGATTCTACCAGTCATTTCCGCCAATTCCATATAGTCCATAAGTTTCATCTGCCATTCCTCCAGCGTGGGAAGTTCTTGTGTCTTCCAATACTTTACTTCTTGCTGCTGTTGTTGCATACATAAAGAAAGTTCTATCCTTTTTTAACACCATTTGGCCGACTATGCCCAGGAGAAAGGCCTCTGGTTTCTTAGGGAAGGTATACTTAAATACCTTTTTAAATTCATTATATATCATTTCCCAGAAAGCCTTAATCTTTGGGCACGTCCACCAAAGGTGAAAAATGTACCTTCAGTTTCTTTACATTTCCAACATTTGTTATCGGGCAAGTGATAGATTTTCGCAAGCTTGACTGGGGTTATGTACCACCTGTATATCATTTTCATAATATTCTCTCTTAAGGCATTACATGCTGTAAATTTCATACCTGTGGTCCATAACTGTTCCCAGTCAGCAAACATAATGTTATGTCCAACGTCCTGTGCCCATTTAATCATAGCCGATTTTACCGTTTCATCCTGAGTATTCCATTTCAGCAGCAAGTTATACATTCTTGACAAATTCTTAGTTTTGGGTTCTAACAATTCTGTTTCTAATTTGGATCTTTCCACCTGGAAGCCAATTTTCCTGTCCAATTTAAATGCCTCCATTATCTGATAATAATGAAGCCAGTCTCGCACTTTGTTTTTTAGTTTTTCAAAACTCTGCAATTTCAGTCTATCTCCGTCTTGTTCCACATGCAGTCTAGATTTTGGGGTGAACCAGAACCAACTTGGATCTGAGCAATACAATCTGGACTTGAAATAAGAAATTCAAACTTGATACTGCTGGTATCAAGTGTCACCCACATTTTCCTGTGAGTAAGCACTATTGAGCACAGTGCATGCATAGGATTGTGCTGTTAATCTGCCACTTGCCCAGGCCATGGTTGGGGAAGAAAAATCATGTGTCCATGTGATATGTATGTATGTCCAGCTCACAAAATCGGGGGATAACCATATGTTGTGTAGATGAGTTGTCTTCATTTTTGCAGCAGTCACGTTTATTGCCACCTATGCCAGTGATGGCGAACCTTTTAGAGACTGAGTACCCAAACTGCAACCCAAAGCCCACTTTGGCACAAAGTGCCAACATGGCAATTTCACCTGTATATCTCATTTTTTCTGTGGGTTTCATTTTTCTTCTTAATGACTTCTGTAATAAATAATCCTTCATGAAAGTTATTGCATTACCTTCTTCATTAAATTATCTTTCCATTGATATATAATTTTATGGTATAACTCAGTGCTTTTTTTCTCCATTCAGTTCCTTTCTCTCTTAAGCCACCCCCTTCTATTTATTTATTTATTTATTCATTTATTGAATTTGCATACCGCCCTTCATGTGCAGGTCTCAGGGCAGTTCAAACATAAAAATACAAGACAAAAAACACAAAATACATAATGAAAACAAGAATAAACCAATAACCCTCCTCCCTTCCAATACTTATTCCATATGTAAACATCTACATTCACAAGATAAAAGGATCACCCTTCTGCCTGCCAACAATTAAGCACCTGTTTGTTGCAAAATGCAACCTGCACAAGTGTGTTTACATGCACCCCTATCAGTCCCACGGGAAGTCCGCTGGCTGAAGTCCTGTTGATCCACACCGCAGTGTTGCCCACCATGTTGCTCTTAATTCCCTTGCCTACACCTCGCCCCCTTTGAGTCCCTGCCCGGCCTCCCTCTTCCTTATTCTGCACACCCTTACTTGGGAGTAAACCCCGCCAACCTCAGCAACGCTTCCTTCCTGAGAAAGCCCCCACGCGCAAATTCCCACACCAGATTTATCGTAGGTGTTTTGTCACTTTTCCAGTTTCTTGCAATCAAGATCCTGGCTGCCACTGTCGTATACATGAAATTTATCTAATTTCTTTTTTAATTTCTGATGTCATTATACCTAGAAGGTTTCAGGTTTTTTCTTAAATGAGAACTTAAATAACTTTTTTAATTCATTGTAGATATTATTCCAAAATTCCTTAATGGCTGTGCATTCCCACCACATGTGTATATATTACCCTATACCATCTTTACACCTCCAACAAGTTGGTGGTCTATTTTTATACATCTTTGTGAGTTTTGCTGGAGTGTGGTGCCATCTGTATTGCATTTTCATAATATTTTCTCTAAGGTTATAAAGGTAAAGGTATCCCTGACCGTTAGGTCCAGTCACAGACGACTCTGGGCTTGCGCGCTCATCTTGCTCTATAGGCTGAGGGAGCCAGCGTTTGTCCGAGACAGTTTTTCCAGGTCATGTGACCAGCATGATGAACCAGAGCAGCGCACGGAAACGTGGTTTACCTTCCCACCAGAGCGGTACCTACTTATCTACTTGCACGTCAACGTGCTTTTGAACTGCTAGGTTGGCAGGAGCTGGGACCGAACAACAGGAGCTGGGACTGAACAACAGGAGCTCACCCGTCACGGGGATTCGAACCAGCGACCTTCCCATTGGCAAGTCCAAGTGTTATAACTCTAAGGTTATAACACGCCATAAATTTAATATCCCCCCTCCACAGTTTCTCCCATTGATCCATATAGATGTTATATCCTAGCTCTTGCGCCCATTTCACCATTGACACTTTCACCAGTTCCTCTTTCACCTCCCATTCTAAGAGGAGGTTATAAATTCTTGAAATGTATTTTCTTTTAAATTGGATTAATTCTTTTTCAAATCTAGATGGTTCCTTTGCAAGACCTTCCTTTTTATCTAAACTCAATCTTTTGTTTATCTGAAAATATTGTAGCCAGTCGACAGAAGGTGTCTTCTGATTTCTTCAAATTATTTTAATTTGATGTTATCATTAATTTCTTTTATTTACATTAACTATTAACTGTGTATGTGGCCCAGTCTCCTTGCATATTTTTCTTTTTAATAGCCAGGGCTTCTGTCGGTGAGGTCCATAGGGGAATCTTTGGTTCTAATATTCCTTTATATTTTATCCAGATTTTGTATAATGATTTGTTTATAATATGATTTAAAAATCCCTCACCTTTTCATAAATTAGATACGCATGCCAACCGTATCGATTGTCAAAACCCCCTAGGTCTAGCACATCTGTATCTCTTAAAGTGATCCAATCTTTTATCCATACCAGTCCGGCAGCAGCATGATAGAGTTCTAGCTCTAGTAGGGCAAAGGCCCCCCCCCTCCCTTTGATGCTTAATTCTTGGTTTTCTTCCATTCCATATAAATCTCCAGCTTTTAAAGCATTTCATTCCTCCCAATATTGGAATGGTTTGGAACAGCAAAATCATTTTTGGTAAAATGTTCATTTTTACTGAAATCCTGCCCCAAAGGGAGAGGTGTAATTTGTTCCAAATTTCCATTATTATTATTTTTAATCTCATGCCAAGTTTTTATATAGTTATCCTGGTACAAATTGATGCATTTTATCGATATCCAAATTCCCAAATATTTTACTTTATTTTTAATCTCTAAAGCTGTAATTTTTTGTAAGTCCTTTATCTCCTCAGATCTCATATTTTTAACTAATAAGTTAGTTTTTTTAAAGTTTCTGCCAAGCTTCCGAATTTGTTAATGTTTTCTCTACTTTGTTGAGGGTTTTCAGTTGTTACTATGAAATCATCTGCAAATGCTCTGATTTTGTGGGAAAAAACATGCAAATTCCCATACCAGATTTCTTGGATTATTATTTTTTATTATTATTATTTTTGCACTGAAGTCACCTCCCTTTGTCAGGGGAGGTCACCGCTTTGACAGCGGCGCATGGTGGGGCGACTGGGCACGTGCCCACAGAGAGGGCTCTGAGTGCCATCTCTGGCACACGTGCCACAGGTTCACCACCACTGCCCTGTGCCATGCCAGCCTCGCTTACTTGCAGGAACCTATAAAAGCTCAGGCCTTTTTTAACCCCTTATCTGATTGCACCACTTGCTCAAGCCAAGCAAATAACGTGACATTTGTTGTTTTTTCCCCCCTAATTCCAGTTGTTCTTATTTGATGTCCGCCAGTTGAATTGGTCAGCATACATAGAATATTTCTGTCTAGGAGCTAAGATGCATGTGCTGAATGAAGATTTGGCTGGCATTCCTGCAGCAAAGGAGCATTTACGAAAGTAAGGCATTCATGTATACTTTTAGTATACAGAACAGGACATTTTACTCACAGAGTAAAATTCCATTTGAAATAGCTAGAAGTATTTGAGATATTGCAAATGGTTCTTTGCTAAAAGTTTTTTTTTGTTTTGTTTTTTGAACTTGTGGATCCCCCCCCAAAAAACACAATTAAATCAAATTAAGTTGAAGAAAAATACAGTCTGAAATTTTGATGCCAACAATGTTTCGTTTCTGGGAGCAACCTGAAAAATGTAGCTGATCTACTTGCTGCACTATTTGCCACTCTCTCTCTTTCTCTCTTTCTCTCTCATCAAGTCTATGACTACTTATTTTGCAAAACATAAACATAACCCATAATGCATGCAAGAAGTTATGTTTATGTTATCCAGTTGGAGGCATCTTGGTTATTGACAGCTCATTTCACTTTTATAAAATAAATTAAGAGTGGTGTTTTTTTATGTATACTATAAACAAGTTTTGCAGCCTTAATCTTTTATTCCATCTTATTGCAAAGCTTCTGTTTTGCTTCTTATTGCTTCTGTTTTTGTTCCCTAAATCTAATTTAGTGAGTCAATTAGGCCATTGCAGCAAATTCTCAAAGTCTCTCCATTGGAAATTTCATAGATGGGGCACCAGTCAGCTTCCACATCTTTGCAAAGAGTATTCTGGCTGCAGCCAGCATACAAGATGCCATCTCTTTATGTACTGATTTCACCAACTATTCCACATAAATTAGTAGAGAAAACACTGGGTGGAGGGGGATTTCATACCCTCAGATCATTTTAATGTGACATTTTATTTCTGTCAGTATTGAATTGTCTTATCACAGTTCTACCACATGTGAAATGGCTCCCTGTGTACTTTTAGACATTTGCAATATGTGGTTGGGGGTTGTTTTATTCATTTTTTTTGTATCTGGAATGATATACACCTACTCGCAATTTTAAAGCAATTTCTCCTTATTCCCATATGTAAGGGAAATCTGTGAGCATTTTTCCAGATATTTTCCTAGATATTCAACAATACCTTTCCCCCAATATTTTCAGCCAATTTTTACTTTCACTTCCTCTGGTTTTGTATCATATTTGTTAAGTAGCTACCAATGTGTGTTTCTTCCTCAGTTATTTCTCTTATATGTAAGGTATTTTTCAACACAAGATTGAACTTGAGAGAACTTAAACCAAAGAGAATTTTTTTCCTTGCAACTCAGCCTGGACTGCTGTGATCATAGTGCCCTGAAGAACTTCTTTTGAAAAGGCTGCTCCCTTCTCCCAAACATGGTATCATTTGAAACCTGTGATAGTTTAGTATTTGCTAAAAAAATTCACTCTCTTTTACTTCCCTGGTTTATTTGTTGCATATAATTTATAGGATTTGTTTGAAGTTTTATCTAAGATTTCCTTTCTCATAGGGGAGCAATATTCTTTGCGTTGCTAGGCTAATAATTTACCAACCTGTTACCCCATTTGAAAGTATTCTGTTTGCTTGCTTTGGTTGTTGGTGTAGTTAATTTTTTATATCTATGTGCATCCATACAGTCTAATTGTTGTTCTTTCCTAAAAGATTTTTAACATTCTTTTTCTTTTTTGTAAAAGCTTTGTTTCTCTGTTCTTTCTGCCAGGCTAAGAAACATTCAATATGTCATCAACACCACCCTGATTGTGTTCATCTGGCGCGTATTTATTGCAAGGTCGCAAATGGCACAAAACATGTGGTACTTTGTGGTACAGCTCTGCTACAAGTTCCTTAGCTACTTTAGAGTTTCCAGCACCCTCAGGCATTGAACATACCTGTCTGGTTATTGACTACCAGCTCTTGGAAGGACCTCCAGTCAACAATTGTGTGTGTGTTTGAGCTTCAAAGCAGCAGAGTATCTCTCAGCTGCTGTGTCATTCAACATATTTCATTAAATACTCATAGCTTATTTTTTTCCTAATAAACCACCATCTTATGTCTCTAGGTCTACCAGGCTACATATCAAAGCCATAACTAAATATTTGGACACAGGTCATTTTAGAGCACTTACCCCTGCTGAAGGGATGTAGATTACCAAAGCTGCCCTATTTCACCTCGGATACAAAACACTATTTAATAACCCTCAGTCTCATCTCTTCCTATGCCCCAAATGAAATGTGAAAATATCTGATAAAACAAGAAATAGCTGACTAAGTGGAGGTATATTTTTCAAAACCCTTAATTGAGAGCAATTGGGGTTTAAATGTTTTGCTTTTGCATGGGGCTGCCTCACTTCAAAGATAAACAAGAGAAAATAAAATCAGCATGAGAGTGGTGGAAGGTTTCAGATTTTTCTCTCTTCTCATGGCACACAGATTTCAGTACACTTTTTAAAATGCATGTCTTTCCCACAGACTTAACTGGTTTTATACATTTCTTCTTTTCCACGGGGAACACTGCAAATTGTATTAAGATGAAAAACTATGGGCCCCTAAACCACAAAATGCCCAACATACTACAATTTCAATGATATTTTTTTTCATTTTTATGCCGTGAAATGATGCATGTCTAAAAAGTATGTCATTTTACTTTTTTTCTTTTTTCTTGTGCAGAAACCACCATAGTTAAGCTGATATATTTGATATTTCAGATATATTTGAAGCATAAATCATCTCCAATTCATCACAAAGTTCAAGGGCCTTCCCTGTCCTGACGATCATTTATATGGACAGTAACAATTTGCAAACATTCCTTTTGGGTTCAGATATTGCTTTTTCAATAATAATAATAATAATAATAAATAAATAAATAAATAAATAATTTTATTTATATCCCGCCCTCCCCAGCCGAAGCCGAACTCAACTATGCTGATAAAATGAGATTATTTCCCCTATTTGCAGAGCTATGGCAATTTAGACAGCTGTGTGGAATGCAATTGCACAAATGTCAAAAGCTGTTGTGGATGCAACTCTTCACTCTTCCTTTTACAATATGTTGCAACCCTTACATTGGCATTCATATTGCATTAGAGTTGACTAGCCTTTTGCTCAGTCTGAAGAAGCCCATTGTCAAGCCCAGGTCAGATATTGTGAAAGCCTCTGCATTAATGGCCTGGTAACAAGTGTATAATGATTAACGCCAAAATTAGAAATCCAAAATTAGAAATCCAAAGAGGAAAAGCTGGGAATGAAAAGGGCTAATTGAAAATTACAGTAGCACATCATGTTGTCGTCTTCAGTGGCATTCTCCCCTGCCCCCAATAGATTGGTTTTTGAGATTATATGTTTTAAGTGATGTGCTGTAACAGTAGAATGGATATTATTATTATTATTATTATTATTATTAGTGCTCCCGAAGACGATGCTGAAATGTATCTGGCTCTTGCAAGGTTCATTTACAGAACCTTTTAAAAGTTTCTAATTCCAGCCATGCTGCCTTCTCTTTTCTGTTGCTGCTAAACCTAAACATTACATTAAAACACGTGGAGGCAGCTACTGAAAATAGCAAAATTAATTTCCTGAGATTTATGGCAACTTAGGTCCTTAGATCTGAGCTTTTTGAACTGTGTGTTGCGACGTTAGCGTGTTGGCTGCAGTGTGCACCCCTGGACCTTCTCCCAGGACCAGGGGTGAGCTTAGGCTCGGGTTTGCTGGTAAAATGGAACTACTGTGCTGTGAAATGATGCAATGTCTAAAAAGTGTGTCACCAACATGAAAAGTTTGGAAAGTTCTGCCTTAGATTGTGGCTTTTTGCATTTCCTTGTTTCACAGTAGCCGTCACAAGTGGTTGGTGGTGAAAACACATAGCATAATTATCATGACACATAGGAGATGCTATTCTCTCTTTTTGCAGGAGGCAGAGAGGGAATATATTGGTGGTGGCAGCAACCCTGTATATTCTAGTCCATAAAGCTGACTTGTACACTAGGAAATTCCTAGTCTCCATTTTTGATCTTGTCCTTAAGATTGTGAATGACATTACCAGGCAAGAGCAAAGGAAATGGGTGCAAGAAACTAGTTCATTTCCAACTTTCTGAGTGTGTTTCAAATATGATTTTCTAATGTGTGTTTCCTAAAGAAGGAAGAAGATTACTGTTCTGATTAAAAATCTTTTCCAGCTTGCCTCCAATGACTTATTCAGCAATTGTAAGAAAGCAACTCATTTAAGACTAATAGCCAGAGAACCTCCTCTCTGTTTTGTTAATATTTTAAAAAGACAGGTTTGAAGCTGGGGCGGAGGAAGAGTCTGAAGGCAAAGATCAGACTACTGCTGCCCTAGCCCATGTTAGGGAGAACAGTGATTATTTTAAGACTCAGATAGCTAAGCTAAGTGGCCTGGAATGGGCTTTTCCCATTGTCATCACATTCAGCATAGCAAAGTAGGATGCTTTTTCTCATGACCCAAAGCTAAACAAAAAGAAATGACTGCAAGGTAATATGCAGTCTAATGCAGTTTCTGCTTATGACACAGAAAATATAGTCTTGAGGGGAATTCTAGTAATATTGCTTTGCAATTTTTTTAGCAGTTTTATGTGCCTGGATTCTACAGCAACTGACAAGAGTTACCACATAGAACTCAGAATACCATCCTGCTTGTATGTGTTTTGCTTGCATGAGTGTGTTTGATGAATTGTCAAGACTGAGCCCTTAGGTCTTTCTTGTCAGGGGTTTCAGGCCAGCTCTTTTTGGTATTGGGTACAGTCTGATCAGTTGCTGGGAATACGTAGCAAACCTGCCTCTCTTTGCATCTGGAATCTCAGCTAGATTTCTCTGTGTGTTTCTCTGGCTCTTTGCCCCTCTCGATACCTGAGGTCATATCTCATGTCTGGGCAGTCCAGGATGTGATGCCTGGCAGTTACAGGATAGGAATTTGAACCTGTAAGGGGGACAGGGGGAAGAAAGGAAAATAACTGACCTCCCCACTCCCCACTCACTTATTTAACAAAACATTTCTGAGGCTGAAGGAGCAAATGGTCAGATAAAATACCTAGAAAGCTGGAATAGACCTCACTGTGTCCTAGAACCCCCAATCTTGGCTTGGTTGTCCAGGGCTGCCAGACGTATGGGTCCTTTTCCTGGAGACAGTCTGGCCTACAGCTCTGGGGCTAAGTCCCATTAGTGGTCATTAACAAAAAAAAATCTAATCTAGGGTTGAGGAACCTGTGGCAATCCAATATTTACAGAAGTTGGCTTGAGAAGCCATCCTTTCAACACATGCATGGAAGATGCATACATGTGCATGGGAGATGCAATCCAAAAATACCTGGAGAACCAACCGTGGGGACCCATCCTGTATCCTATTGAAATACAATTAATTCAGGCTTTTCCAAGATGTCAGATTTGCCTCTGTGAGATTCTAATAACAATCCTAGATGATCACAGAAAGGAAAGTTGCCTGGTAGTCTTAAATAATCCTGGAAGAGGGTGGAAGAATTTTTTTGTAAACTTTAGAACCTTGTTTAAAGGTTCCCACATCAACATCTGTCAAGTGTGCTGCAGAAGATGCTTGGGTATCCCCATTCCATTCAGAGAGGAAGGCTGGCCCCCTTTCACTCTGTGAAACTAAACATTGCAGCCGGCAAACAGTCTTTCCAATAAATCTGCCCATTATTCTTTTTCTCATTAAAGAACAGGGCTCCCTGGTACACAACTTGAAATTAAATTGTGTGATTTTGCTGCTGTCTGCACTGAAATTCACAAAAAGGATTAATTGGAGCTTAATATAGCAGAAGAAAGAAAGCACTTTACATTCTCAGCAAATATGTTAGTAACTAGCCTGCTACATGGTGCTAAATCTGGGCAAAAACAAAGCTGAATCTTTCTTAGGACAATATACATACCATTAAACTATGATGTTTAACCAAATCAAGTTATTCCATCCCATTTTCTGTTTACAAATTGTGGCTTTTATATTTGTTATGTGAGAAACAACAATGCTTAGAATACTTGTTTTCCATTTATGCATAATCATGTTGATAAAATGAAGCCACTCTGTAGCAGAATATGCATTCTCCCGCTATCCAAAATTTTGTAATATATTTCGTTATATACAAGACAACTCACAGCAATTAAAGCTGCCAGTCAGGTGTGTGATTTTAAGGTGCTCTGTGAGCTCTTAACTTGAATGACTTGTCAAGGAAAGGGGTGTGAGAAATTAAACAAATATAGTAACCTGGAATTACTGTTATTTTCAACAATTAATAAACAATATTTTAAAAACATTGTCTCAAAGAAATACTGTACAGGGAATGATCCTTCCTAAGCATGCCAAATATCCTCTTTTCTTGTCTGGATCTCAGAAGAAAAAAAATTCATGAACAGCAGAGATCTGGCAAACATGTACTTTGTTGACAAGGCAAATGACTTAAAACACCAGCTCAGCTATAGTTTTACCCTGTAGCAATGGGCAAGCCGCTCCCTTCACAAGAATTCTCCATTTCAATACATAATTAAAAAACAGTTCACAATATTCCTTCCCAGCATTATACATACATTATACGTACCATACATTTAAAGCACATCTCACCTCTCCTGGGAACAGAGCTTCAATTCCCGGTATATTTGCAAATTACAGTTCCCATGGTTCTTTGCAATGGGATGTGCTTTTAAATGTATAGTGTGTATGCAGCCTCTATCACATTTTTGTGTGACCAAGAAACAAAACCCAAGTTAATATTATGAATCTTAATGGCCGGAGCTAGCAAGAATGGGTTTGTCTCCAGTCCTATAGAAATGGTTTCTATTCACTACTATGAAGGACAAATAATTGAACATTAAATGTGTACACAGGCCCTTGCATCTGTTCCTGAATTTTTAAATTTCACTGCTTGAGTTGCTCTGTGCCTGCTGCACTTTAATCTTTAGTTTGAGTTCAGAGCCATAAATCAACGTTGTGTTCCATGTTCAGTTTAATGGGGAATCTAAAAATGGCTGCAACTTTTTTAATGACCTTTCATTAAATGTTCAGAACATCACCAAACTAATGAAAGATAGCCTTCAATGAAAAGCCGGAATAAAGTACGTTCATAATGTTCAATGACATGTGAAAGAATTATATTAGATGGGGTGGGGGAGAGGAGGCAGAATGGAGTACAAATTAAATATGTCAGTTTTCCGCACTTTCTCAAGTTGCTATACATCTGGCATCTTTTATCAGGTTGTTTTGAAATTTGGAACATTTACAGAACTCAACAGCTGTCCTTTCAGTATATGATTTTGAGGTCTAGAATTCTGAAATATTTCCATCCCACCTTGCCTAAGCTTAATATATTTGATATATTAAAAATATTTCCTTTGCCGCTTCCATAACCACCACTTTTCATGGGTGGCTTTTACCCATCACCTAGAAGCAGGGTCTCAATGGGCACCTCAAGGCTCCTTTAATGTTACAAAGATGCAAGCACTTAGGTCCTACTTAGCTGACGAGAAACCCCGACAATGCTTTTGTGGAAGCCTGTGAACTGTTTAAATGCAAACAAGCACAAATTGTTCAGCAAATGGCTGTACTGGGAACCAGACCCCCTCCTTACGATGAAATCAGGATGCAAGAAGAACAATTTTATTACCCTGAACCAATGGGACACACCCCGCCAGGAGTGGGGCTGGGGCAGGAGCGGGAGCCATGGCAAGAGCTCGGGGCAGGAGCAGGAGTCGTGGATCCAGCCGCCCCCCAAAGGTTCCTCTGGATGAGGAAAGGGCAGTCGAACAGTGCCCACCCAGACCTATTGTCTGCTTGGAAACAAGTAATGAACCTACCCAAT